AATACATTAAATTATTTTAAATAAATTATTTTATATCATATACATTTAATTAATTAATATTATTAAATATTTTTTATTTTATTTTTTTACATATATAATGTATTTATTAATAATGAATGCATTCTTTATTCATGTTTATAATTATATTTATATTACATTTATTTATTATTTAACAGAATTTTGTAATTTTTTATTCCTTTTTTGCTTTATTTTGTTTGGGTAAGTTTTAGCCTTTTTGACTATCACTGACATTGAAACGAAGGTGTTGTGGGTAAAGATGATTGGAGGTGGTCTGCAGTAATGCTGTGTCTCTGTCTGGTCTCTAGCATGTAAGATCTGGGGAATATTACGGCTGGTCCTGATGGCAGAGCTTCATTCCGGCGGCTAGAAGACTCTCAGATCAAGGTAATGAAGCTGTGCTCGTCATTAGGACTTCAAAATACAGTCTCGCTGCTCAGAGGGATAAGCTGATAGTAAGAGCAGTCGGGCGTGTGTCTATAAACCCTACGGTAGAGTGTTTGGATCTACAGTAATTATATAAAGCCTCTGTTCTTAAGTTAATTACACTTAGTTTGACTAACCTCTCTGTCACTACATTCACGGTCACACCTCTCTTTTGAACTCTTTTAACATTCTGTGTCATTGCAAATAATCATGCACAGATCTGAGCAGGGTTATTAAACTTGCAATTGTAAGAAAATATCAGAACTGTGAGCTGACTTGATTTTCTTTAAAAATTGACTTTATAACTCGGGAGTTTAGTTCTCGCAAGACAGAATTGTGCGATGAAAAGTCACAATTACCCATTTTATTTTTTTAGGCCGTGGCAGAAATGGGCTTTCATATAGTGTAGGGCTGTTAAATATGTTTTTTTTTCTTCGAATATTCGTCGAATTTAAAATAAAAATTCAAATGCAAAAATGCTGCATTAGTTGTGCGTTAAAGAGGCAGCCTTATCAGCGGTGCACGAGATGCGATGACGATGTAAGTGTCGTTGCATTATAATGTTTTTGTTAGCC